GAGGGGCTCAGGGGACGCCTCTGCTTCTCTGAGCCAAAGAAAACTCTACAGAAGCTGCTGTGGGGCTGTAACAGCTGGGTTAGGGGACCAACTTGCCGGCTTATGTGCTGAGTGAGCTCGGGGTACACTACTAGGCTGCACTCGGCTTCCTGGCCTGGGAGTAGCAGCAGTTTGTCTATGCTCCAGCCTAGTGGCTCCCGACCTTAGTTTCTACTTTTAGCAGTCTGTAGTTCCCCTGGCTTTCCCCATCTTAACTCCAGCCCCCACCCAGTATTTCCCAGAAGCTTCCTATTTAGAGGAAACCCTGGTGATGTAGTGGTTAAGAGCTACCACTGCAAACCAAAATGTCAGCAGTTCATAATCCACCAGGCGCTCCCTGGAAATTGTATGGGGCAGTTCTACTCTCCTATAGGGTGGCTATGAGTCGGAATTGACTGCACAGCAATGGGTTTGGTTTTTTGTTTTTTTCCTATTTAGAAGCCCAAGCCCAATATCCCTCCACATAACATTAGTGAAACCTCAGACGTGTACTCCCTCATGCTTCCCTCAGAGACCAGTCTGTTCCCAGCTCGGCTCTGTGAGAATGAGGGTCTAGGTCTTAAAAGATTACACATCATTATGTTTCATGTCTCCTGAAAATCTGAAGCAGACCCAAGTCCAACCAGACACTTAGATCCATTGTTGAATCAGAACTAGACCTCCTTCTTGTCAATAAGCTCTAACCTGACCCTAGAAAGTAGAATTTCTAGACTGCAAATGACATGAGGAAAGGCCTTGGAAGTGCTTCAGATTCCCAAGACTGACCTGAAATCAGCTGACCCAGGTGCATAGGATCCTAGACTATCAGAGCTTAAGGGAGCCTTTAAGATTATTTTATAAAGAAGAAAACTGGAACCCAGAAGGCAATTGATTTGACCAAGGTTCTACAACTGGTTTGAGACAGAACCCAAGTGTTACCTATTCCTCTTTTCTCTATTCCACATTCCATGTCAAATTGTGGACTCTATGGGTTATCCTAGGGTCAGGGACAGAGGGAAAGGATTTGTTTTAGAACCACCAGAAGTGTCCTTCACCTCCCAGAACTTCCTAGGCCTAGGTCAGCTAAGAGTCTTTTTATCACCCTTGAATGGGTCATTTGGCCTAGTGCCTGGAGGAACTGAAATTTAAAACGGTCTCTGAAACTGAACTAGACTCAGTTAAGAACTAACAAAACTTTAAAAAAGGTTGGATGAATAGTATATGAGAAGTGAAACAGGCAAAGCCTTATGCTGGGGGTGGAATTGGGGTGGGGGGACACTTGCAGAGCTGAATCTGTGATTAGTGTAACATTTTCAAGGACAGGATTAGGCTCAGGAGTGAAAAAGCAACAAGACATGGGAAAAAGGGGACTGGCCCTGAGTCCAGGGAGGTCTGCTCCTAAAGTATTATACCTGTGGGAAAGAGTTGAAAGGACAAGAAAAATGTATGCATTTGGGGAAGAGTGGACTTTTGCTTGAGACCCCACAAGCTTGAATTCCTGTCTGGGTTGGCATGACCCCTATGCCCAATTCATATTATCTTTCTCTTTTATTTCCTCTCAATATTCAGTCCTCTGACAGAGGGCATTAGACATAAAATGGTTTTTGCTGGTGCCCCTGGCTGTCTTGGCCCTGGGAACATGAACTCATTGCTCAGTCAGTGGTGGTTGAGTGAATGAATTAGTTGCCTAGTATGTCTAGTTCCACTGGTGCTAGACCCTTGGAAATCCCCAGTTTTGGAGAGGTTATAAAATAGATCCTGTCGTAGTACCCGCAGAAACAACTTTGTTTGGTCTCAGGAAGTCTTTTGCCAACTGCTTTGGAAATTTTTGGCTGCCTGCAAAACCACCACCACCACTGTATTCTCTCTAACCTTCACCTCCATTGTAGCCTGACTGCTCACACCTCAGGCCAGCAATGGGAATTGTCCTCCCCAGTGAACCTGGAGCCATTAATTTATGTGATATCTCACAAACGTTCATGTCAGCTGTTAGGTTTTGGCTGGCTCCTAATTACAAGACTAAATGAAATGCAACCTACTGCAATTGTATTTCAAAGCCAACATTTTTCACTTGACACACTTAAAATGTACAACAGATTTTTAAACTTCAGGGGCCAGGAGAGGGAATGGGTGACAACTGGGCAGTGACAAGATGGCTGGGATGTCTTTGCAGGCTGCCAGAGGCTCTCTGAAGGGAGAAAAGAGTGAGAAGAGCAGGGAAAGAAAACCCATAGCAACAGTCAGGGCAATCTGGAGGGGAAGTGGGCTGACTTCCTGCCAGGGCCATGGCCAGGGCCTAGAACTTAGGCAGAGACCGAGGACAAAGCTACAACCTTCCAATGACAACTCCTTTGAAACCAGGATCTCCTGGGACCATTTCCCTCAAGTCTCCCTGTGTGCTGATCAGTGACCTCTAAGGGACAGCCACACATTTCTGTTTCTGGTGGTTCCTGAAAATGGTTCCCAGAATCAAGACCCACATTTCTAACCACTGCCTAGACATTTATTTTCTCTGGGATGTGTTATTCTCATCTTAAACTTACTATGTCCAAACTAAAGTTATCTGTCTTTCGCCTAAACCTGCACCTCTTCCAGACTTCCACATTCTGGCTAGAACCCTGGAATCTTCTCTGGTGTCTCCCCTCATCTGGACCCTCATTATGGAGGCAGTCACCAAGCAGTTACAGTCTTCTCATCCTTTCCGTGGTCACTGCCATCACCAGAACCCAAGTCTGCATCACTATGCAATGTAGAAATTTGCAAGGGACCTTAGGAAACAAATAGCTCCTTCCTTGTATAAGAAAATTGATGCCCAGTGGAGCCATGGGATTTGTCCAAATTTATAATGCTAGCTAGAGGAAGACCTGGGACTAGCATCCTTGTGCCTTGGCACCGTGCTCATTGCTCTCACTGATAGCTTCTTCTTTCTGTGCATGAATGTACTCCCCTACTCAAAAACTTGTAACTCAATCTCTTAACCAGGCATTTGAGCCTCTCCCTAATTTGTCAACAATCTACCTCTCTGACTTTTTGTCCCACTTTTTCTTGACACAAATAAGAATTAATATTTATCGAGCATTTATTATATGCCAGGCACTGTTCTAAATGCTTTACATGTATTAACTTACACAATCCTCAAACATCTAGAAAGGGGCATATTATTATTATCCCCATGTTACAGATGAGAAAACTGAGGTAGTCTACCTCCCGAGCCTGAAATCTCTCCCTCTGCTCTTCTCTGACTATCCCTAGCAGCCAGCTACCTTCTCCCTCTTACCCAGAACACTTACCATCCATCTGGGCTGCCCCCTTGGCGCTCGGTGTATCCTACCTTGTGTTGTTAGTTCTCTCTATCTGTTGGTGCTTGTGTCCCATTCCCCAAGAGCCCCAGTCGCTCCTTAGTAGACAGCAACTGAGTTGCTTCTATGCCTTTGCTATCTGGGCACCTCTACAGTGCATAGCACCTGGCATACAGTGCTCTTTCTCCTTTCTGTCTAGAACTCCAGCTTCTGTCTCCCAAGCCTCCTGCCACACAGGGAGATCCTGATTCAGGACATGGCACTGAGGAACAGATGGTGAAGGAGGACCCAGCTTAGGTACCCCACAAGGAGCTTTGAGATCAGGCTGATGGTTGAATGTGACTGAGGACTGTACCTGCTACAGAGGTTATCAGATTTGGCTCCAGGTAGGGAGCGGCTTCCTTTGGTGCTATACACATTAGGTCCCAATTTACCTCCACCACACCCCCAGTTATGACCTGACCTTCCTCACCATGGCCAGCCTGGACCCATAGTCATTTGGTCCTTTAAGAAGGAGATTCTCCTGTTGCCCATGTCCTCTCCACTGCTTGACAGAAAACTGCCCCCCTCCCATTTCCAGATTTCTGTCTTCCTCTTCTGTATTCTCTGAATTTCCTGCCTGCCTCAGTGGAGTCCTTTCTTCCTTTTCCTCCCTGGCCCAGGGCCCCTCTTGCCTCTCCTCCTTCTTTCTCCCAGGAAGATGGCCTGGGTTTTTAGATTCTAATCTCAGCCCTACTCTTGACTTGCTACATTACCTTGAGCAAGTCGCTTCCCTGCTCTGGTGTCAATTTTCACATCTATAAAAGGACTCAGCTGGACGAACTGGTGAGATATGTCCCGTTCATGCTCTCCTTTATGGTCCTCCTCTCCCTCTGGGCTCCCTCTCCCAGGGGAGGCCTGCCCTATTCCCCCCAGGAGAGCTGTGGCTCTGGCTCCTGTTCCCTGTCTACGCGACCAGCCCTGGGCCTCCTCCCCAGCGCTGGCCCCGGCTCCATGTGGCCCGTCTGAGAGGCTGGCCCCAAGCCCGGCAGCAACTCCACATTTCTCTGTTTTTCCTTTTTTCCCCCTCTTTCCCAGAGTTAACAAGAAGCAGATGTGGCGCACGACGGTTGGAGAGGTGGGAGGGGAGGAGGGAGGCTGGACCGCCAGCCAGACGGGGGAAGGGAGGGGAGTGAGCAAGGGAGGGCGGCGGGAGGCCAGGGCCCGCCCCATAGCCACCCCTTGCGCCTCTGAACAGTCACTGGGGCAAAGCTCTGTCACCCCCAGGATCCGGTCATCAGGGAGAAAGGACAGGGAGACCAGAGGAGAGCCAGCTGGGGTGAGGGGGCCGAGGCCCAGGAAACAGCATCTGAGAGGGGTAGGGACCAGGCGCAGGGGGCCAGGGGCACAGAGAACAAACTCCCCTCAGAAGTGGAGAAGAGGAGAGCGGAAGGAACCGAGGGAGGGACAGAAGGGAGCCTGAGGAGGAAAGAGGAGGGGGAGAGAGGTCAGGCCAGACAGCCAAGGAGGAGGCGTGTGGGGGCTGCAGGCAGGAAGCCTGGGACTGGGACGGCAGGCTCTGTCCTGCCGAGCCGCGGCATCCCCCAGGGCTGGGCAGAGGCACCAGCTGCCAGGCCGGGATGTGCCACTGAGAACCACCAAGGAGCACCCCAACCATGGCCCCCAGCGCCCTCTGGAGCTGCTACCTCTGCTGCCTGCTGACCGCCTCCGCAGGGGCAGCTAGCCACCCTTCTCGTGGCTACAGCCTCTACACAGGGGGTGGGGGGGCCCTTAGCCCTGGGGGGCCCCAAGCCCAGAGCGCCCCGCGGCCTGCAAGCAGACACAGGTAAGAGGAGGCCCAGTCCCAGGCTGGAGGTGGGTGGAAGGGCTGGTTGGAAGGTGGACATGCTGCCACTGCCTTGGCTACCCTGCCCTGGGCTGTCTCCCGATACAGGGAAAGGGGAGAGAGGACAGCTTACCCACCAGGTGGCTCCTTACAAGCCCACCTTCCCAGGGGGCCACTTCCAGGGCCCCTGAACTGCTTGCCTCCTGGGTAACCTAAGGGGGATCAGCACCCACGTTCCCTCAGGGGGACCTGCAGTTTGCTGCCCAGGGAAACCACCCCGAGGGGTGTGGGCCAGGCCTTCCTGACAGCCGCCTAGTGCGTGCCAGCCCGGGATCTTTGAGCAGACGTTTTGTGCCTTTTTAGGTCCTTGGCTCCATCTAGTAATCCATAATTCTGACACCACTCTTGCTCCCCAGCGGGACACAGCTCAGAGGCCAGCATGAATGGGGCAAGGGTGTGGAACTGCTAGCCCCAAGGGAGGCATGGTTCATCCATGGCTTATTCTTTACTTAACCCTGAGCTGGATCATGGCCTGCTTCACGTCCTCTCCCCTGAGGGACGAGTGGACACCAGCATCCAGGGCATCATCCCCAGGAACCTGGCCATCCAACTTACACAGGGCATGCCAAGGAGGGGATTGAGAGTGGGCCAGAAATGGACACAAATAAGGGTGTGAATTCAGAGGCTCTGCAGGCCCCCACAGCCATGAGTACTGACTTCTTGGTGGTTGTGGTTTTCCATTCTGTGCCTCTCCCTTCTTGAAAAGTCTTTATCTGCTCCTGGTGCAGAGGAAAGCATGGGGGAGCTGCCCTTGCCAAAGCCCTGGCTCTCACTGGTCCCCCAGTGACCTCACTCAGTCCCTGGTAGTCCCCGAGGCCTCCTCTGGGGCATGTGCCTCTGGTCCTTGGGCCCAGATGGGGTTGTGCCTACAGGAACTGGTGTGCCTACGTGGTGACCCGGACGGTGAGCTGTGTCCTTGAGGATGGAGTGGAGACCTTCATCAAGCCTGACTACCAGCCATGTGGCTGGGGCCAGCCCCAATGTCCCCGCAGCATCATGTGAGCTCCCTGTGCTGGGGCATGGGCTGGGCCAGTGGGCACTTGGTGGGGGCTGACCAAGGGCCAGAAGGTGGGTGGCCAGCTCAGGGAATTGGTACAAAGCAGGCAGCAAGGGGCAAGATGAGGCAGCCATGGTGAGATCCATTTTGAGGAGATGCTTCAGCAACAGTTTGGCTGGTGGGATAACGAGGACAACCTCACCTAGACCACGTGCCAATCCCCAAATGCCTTCTCTGGGCTGGGGTCATCCTCAGGGAGAAGAGCTCAAGGTTCCAGCACAGGGCAAGGGGAGTAAGAGCAGTGATTTGGCCCTCCACCAACAAGCTGACAGCTGTCAACTGAGCAAGGCCACATGCTGGACACTAAGAGGGACCCAAGCTGCTCATGTGTGAGGACAGGGGCCAGGGTCACTGATAGGACAGGGAGGAAATAAAGAGGCCTCCCTCCACCTCTCCCAGGTACCGCAGCTTCCTCCGCCCTCGATACCGTGTGGCCTACAAAACAGTGACAGATATGGAGTGGCGGTGCTGTCAGGGCTATGGGGGCGATGACTGTGGTGAGGGTCCTGCCCCAGCACTGGGTCCTGCTCCTACCACACCACACCCTCAGCCCCGGCCTGCCCGCCCCAACCTCTCTGGCTCCAGTGCAGGCAGCCACCTCAGTGGGCTAGGGGGCGAAGGTGAGTACGGGAGCTGCTGGGGACAGAAGTGGGAGACCATTCTGGGTGGAAAATGTGGAGCCAGGCTGCTGAGGGAAAACCCCAGACTGCTGTTAAGTCAGGGGGAAGAAAGGGAGAGAAGGAAGCTAATGAGATCCCTGAGATTGTGTGTGTGTGTGTGTGTGTGTGTGTGTGTGTGTGTGTGTGTGTGTGTGTGTGTGTGTGTGTGTGT